CACCACCACCACCACCACCACCACCACCACTGTCGCGCAATCATGGCATCGATAAACGTCGCATCGCGGCCGAAACAGCCGTACGTCTCCGTATCATGCCCATACACAACGTGCCGCTCGTCGATCGAGTACCTGCCGCCGTCGGCCGCCGAGCTGGCTGCGCTGCCGTCGCACGAGACCTCGTTCACCGTCACATGCTGCACGTGCTCCAAGCAGTTTGAGCCTCCGGGCGCGACGAAGCTCGTGCGCGATGCACGCAAGTCTGGCGGCAAGGACGTTGCGCGCAAGCGCCGCATCGGCACAGACGACAATCCGCTCGACATGACGTACTACGACATCCTGGGCGTGCCGGCCTCGGCGACGCTCGAAGAGATTAAAAAAGCCTACCGCAAGCTGGCGATCAAGCTGCATCCGGACAAGAATCCGAACGATGCCGAGGTGGAGGAAAAGTTCAAGGCGCTCGCCACGGCCTACCACGTGCTGTCGGATGCCGAGTTGCGGCACAAGTACAACGAGTTTGGTGCCAGCACACCCGGGTTGACGCCCGAGGACGGGTTTGTGGATCCGGAGGAGGTGTTCGGGTCGCTGTTTGGCGGCGAGCGCTTTGCGGACATCATCGGGACGATTTCGATCGGCAAGGATATGAAGGAGGCGTTGCAGCAGGATTCGGACGATCTCGAGCGTCAGGCCAACGGCGAAGAGGTCGCTGCGGGCGAAGGGTCGACCAAGCCCGTGTTGACGCCGGAGCAGAAGGCGGCCAAGGAGGAGAAGGAGCGCGTGCAGGCGGCCGAGCGCGACAAACAGAGGCAACAGCGCGTTGCAAAGCTCGTCGAGAAGCTGGTGCGCAAGCTGAGCATCTACACGGAGAGCATCCGGAGCGCCAACGATCCGACGCTCGAGCGCGAGGTGGAAAAGTCCTTCCGCGAAATCACGCGCATCGACGCCGAGGAGCTCAAGCACGAATCGTACGGCGTAGAGCTTCTGCATGCGGTCGGCTTCGTCTACTCTGCCAAGAGCAAGCACTATCTCGCCAGCACTGGCTTTCTGGGTTCGTTCGGCGGAGTTTTTCACTCTGCTGCATCGAGTATTCACGTTGTGCGCGAGACCGTGTCGACGGTGCGTGCGGCACTGGAGCTCAAGAGTGTCTTTGAGGAGCTCGCCAAGGCCGAGGAGCAGGGGATCACGGTGGAGCGCAAGCGCGAGCTCGAGGAGCAAGCCGCCGAAAAGGGCATGCGTGCCCTCTTCAAGGGCGCCAAACTCGAGGTGGAGAGCGTGATTCGCGAAGTGAGCGAAGCGGTGCTCTACGACGCAAGCATCGGTAAGGAGACCCAGAGACTGCGTGCCCAGGCCCTCGGCATCGTCGGCGAGATCTACATGGCCGTCAAGAAGGACGACGACAAACCCGCCGAGGTGGAAGACTACGTCAAGGTCGACACCCAAGCGTCCAAACAGCGCGAAAAGGCACAGAGTCAGAGCTCGCCACCCCAGAATCCGTGGTAATGCGAAACCTTTTGCCGGATTGCATTTTGTACTTTGTGTGTGTGTGTGTGTGGGTTTGGTCAGGGGATAGGTGGTGTGCTCCATCTGTGGACCGTGCGTGGGCGCATCCGGAGGGTCGGTGCGGGACTAGCCCGTTGCGAAGCGCTTGCACTTTCGACCTCGCTGTGAGGGCCCTCGCTCTTGATCGCGCTGGCAATGGCCTGTTGCATGGCCGCATAGTCCGCACCCTGTGGCAGCTGAACCTGTTGCTGAGCGGGCACAGCGCTGGCGGGCATCAGCTCATAAAAGAGCATATACGGATTCTCCTGTTTGACCTGCCCAATCGTTGTGCGCGATACGCTCTCGTCGGAGATCCGCAACCACGTCTCGTCTTCCTCCTCGCCCACACCTCGCAACCCACCCGACTCCTGCACTCGCTTAAAGGCGACATAGTGTCCGAACGAGTGCGATCCATAATGCACCACGATCGCCGCCAGCCTGTAAAGCGCCGCCACCTGAGCCTCGTCTCCACCGGCGCCGTTCGCGTTCATGGCTTGCCGGCCATCCAGCGAGATGCTTCCCTGCAGCGTGAACTGGGCCAAATCGAGGTACTCGGGAAACAGCACGTGGCGGTTGTTCTTGGCGGGAGCCCATGCGGATGCCGAGTAGGAGGAGCGATTCAAATGCAGCGCCAGAATGCGCGGCGGTCTCGAAACCATGATCTGCTTGGTCGACAGTCGGCTGATCGTCTTTTTTAGCTGCACGTTGTTCAGCACGTTGTGCCACGGCGAGGCAGCATCCTCGGCCGCCTGCTTTAATTCATCCTCCGACAGCCCCGACTCGATGATGCGCATCAGCCTGGCCTCTTTCGACCGGAGCTGCGCGAGCCTCTTCTTCTTTGCCGGGGTCACGCCTCCATTGGCCGAGCCATTCGCCTCGCCGTTCTTGAGTTTGCCATTCTGCTTCGAGTCGAGCGCGGGCGCTCTTGCCGCCAGGTCGATCCGGATACTCTGCAGCGTGTTGCGCAGCGTGCAATTCCAACAGATCCAGTCAACCTGCTCGAGATCGGACCACAGCGCCAGACACTCTTGAAGAGAGCATGCCGAGGTGCCGGTGAGCTCCGAGGTGCGTGTGCGCACATTCATCGGCGGCACCGAGAGCGAGATCTCGGAGGCGGAAAAGTGGCGGATGGCCTCGCAGTAGCCGCAGTCGAGGCAGATGGTGCGCTGCGCCAGCAAGGCGTCAAACGGCGAGATCATAAGCGTCTCGCTGCCGCCTGCGCCCATGTCGTCGCGGCGTTTCGATTGGTCGCCGCCGGATCCAGGTGCAAGGGGATGCAGAGAGAGGAGCGAGGCGCTCGCCGGCAAGATGCCGTTGGCTTGTGCTGGATCTGCATAGACGGCGCGACCGCTCCACGGTAAAGAGGGCGCCATGAGGGCTCGAAGACCGGCTTGCTCCGAGTCGAGAGCCTCGGCCTTGTCGTTTTGGATTGCCTTTGCCTCGGCATCGACGGCTTCGTTGAGGAGTGCAAAGAGCTCGTGGGCATCCTGCTGCTGGTGAGCCCCGACGAGACTGCGGATAGATGAGGAGGGCAGATTCTGGAGCGCCCTAACGAGCTGCACGGGATTGACGGCCGCATTGCGCTCGGCTGGCGTGACGAGCTCCTGAACCAGCTCGAGCAGGGCATCGATGACAGGCGTCGGAGTGTCCCAGCGTTCGGCCTCGTCGACGAGAAAGGAGAGGTATGTGCGATAGAGCGCAAGCGATGATATGGATTGGAGCGTCGAGTTGAAGAAGCACGTGTTGCCGGTGTTGCGCAGACCCTTGTACTTTGGATTCGCCAGTCGAGGCTGGGACGTTGCGGTGGGTGTGCTGGAAGACGAAGAAGCGGTAGAGCGCGCGCGGCGGAGCGACTTGGAAGCAGTGTTGGTGTCCTTGACCGATGCCGAGGGGGTATATGGGTGGAGGCGCGAGGCGGCGTGCAGGCCCGGTTTGAGCATGTCTTTGTAGGCGAGCGTAGCAAGCAGGACGATCAGAAGGGCGCCAAGGGCGAGAGCAGCCTGGACGGCCAAGGTGACGGGAAGCGGAAGCACGCCCAACAACGGATAGGCTGGGCTGGCCGTAGGTTTGACGAGGACGAAGCGATAGTCTCCCATGCCCGCGGACGCTCCTGCTACACCCCGAGCGGCGCTAGTGGCTCCATCCGCCGGCAGGTGTGTGAGGTCGGATGTTGGAGGGAGGCTTGTATGACAGGAGGGGCGGGAGAGAGGCAGGACCGGCTTGGACGAGATGAAGGTCCAGATGATGCATTGCATGGCACCCACGAAGCGGCTCGAGCTTTCTTTTTGGCTCTGCCTCGGGCTGGAAGGAGTCGCCAAAAAATCGGGAATCCAAGCTCAGCTGGTGTGGGTGTCGTCGTTTTTTGCGCACCTCCACCCGTGTGGGCGAGGACCGCCTTAACATAGTCGCGATAAGCGCCGCGCCCACTGTGCCCGATGCGGGCTGGTTCTGTACGGTAAGCGCCGTGGCCGGCGACGTTCACGATTTAGGCTGTTGAGCGGCGCATCCAGGTCGCTGGCGCTCACATGGCAAGCTCGCGCGTGTTGCAGCGGGCATCCTTTGCAACCAGCGCAAGATGGCTAGGGACAGGCGGCCATGGTCTCTACACTCCAGCCTTGCAAGGGGCCCAAAGTGTATGTATCGCGATGCTGCGACAACAGATCGGCAAGGCAGGGAGGAGGGCGAGCCAAGAGGAGGAGGGGCTGCCTCGGTTGAACTCCATGTCAGGAAGTAAGCCAGCCAACTGCATTCAGCGCGCTTTCGCTGCTGAAAGGCGCATACTCGAGGAACCATGCAGGTTGAGGTCGATGAGGCTAAGGACAGTAGCGCCTTTGATTGTGATTGGGTGCAGCATGCAGCTGCGCGAATACAGCCTGCGGCGCGGATTGTATTCGAAGCCTTTTGAATCCAATTCGCATCGGGACCGCTGCGCCAGCTGCTTTGGCTCGATGACCGCTCGTGTGCCCTTTTGCGGAAGAAATCAGTGTCTGAGGATGCGTCGCAATGCTTTCAAGCTGGGCCTGGGCGCTGCAGCCCGATGCGCTCAAATGCAGACTGCGCCCTGCGTCCGCTGTGCCTCGACTCGAGCGCAATCCCAATTGATTCACTCGCTCGACTCGCTCTCGAGCTGAGCTCCCCCGCCTTGGGGCCCTGAATTGCTGGAGCAAAGGACTGACCAACCGAGCGAGACCGCGGCAGGCGCGCGGCGGTGCGGCGGTGCAGTGGTGTAGACAAGCTCGCTGCTGCTGCTGCTGCTCCACACTGGCGCGCGCTCCAGCCAGTTCTGCCACAGTGTCGCGCCCTCGCCTCGCGCGGCCGCCCATGCAGCGCTATCCCCGCGTCTCGAGCTCACTCTCGGCGCCCGTTCGTGGTCGATCGCCCCTGGCTCTGGTGCCTCGCCTCGCCTCGCTCCCGGTGGTTCTCTCTCGAGATAGGACGCTTAGCTGTCCTCCCCCACTTTCTTGAACCCGCCCTCACGATCACCAACTCTCTCACCGTTCCTCGCTCGCCGCTACATCTGGTCGTTCGTGGCAGAGACCCGTCGGATTGGCCCGAAGTCCAAAGTCGACGCGACATCCATCACACTTGGCCGCCACCCACTCTCTCTTCACACGCCTCGCATCCGACTCGGCGATTCTCCGATTCGAGCCCATCCAGCCAACCTTACTGCCACCTGGCTTGATCACATCGATTGCATCCACTCGCCTCGCCTTCGGCTTTCATCCGGCACACGCACGTCTCTTTTCCATTCACACGCCCCGACTCAGCATCCACGCCATCATCGCGAGACTCGTGCTCTTGACAGCGCTTTGCCACGCAGTCCCGACGCTGCCCTTTCGTCACCGATCTAGCGCAAGGTGATCTGATCGCGGATTGTCTCCGAATCGCTTGGCGTTGCTTTACAGTCTTTAGCTGCTCCCACCACCTCCAAAGCTCCCCAACCCCATCTCAACTCCATCCCCGGACAGTCCGCAACCTCCAACAGAGCTGTTCGCAAGCGCTCCGATCACAAGTCCGAGCTCAAGGGAGATGGACATGCATGCCACCATGTCTGCCTATCAGGGTTCCGGTGCCAACAGCCCTGCCATCGGCCACGGCCCCACCCATCAATTCTCCAATCCCATCCCCGGAACCTCGCTCACCGCACCGGCCTCGCCATCCGGCGCCTATACCGCCTCGGCGCTCGCCTATGCCAACGCCCAGCTCTCACAGTATGCCGCCACGGGCGGCACCGCTGCCATCCCCGCCCACCTCAACCCGCATGCGTTGAGCTCTGCCCTGTCCGACTACTCGATCAGCCTGCCCAACTCGGCCGCCTCATCGCCCGGCGCCACGCCGCGTCGTCTGCCCGGCACGGGTACCTCCACCCCGGGCGGAAACTCGCGCGTCGCCGCCAGCGCCATCACCGGCAAGCGCCTCAACTGGAGCGAGATGATCTGCCAGACCATCGCAGAGAGCGAGAGCGGTCGCCTCGTCATCCAGGATCTCTTCGAGGGCATGTGCGCCAAATTCCCCGAGATCCGCGAGTGGGCCTTTGGCAAAGACTGGGAGGCGCGCGTCAAGAACCGCATCAAGTCGACGCTCTCCATCAAGGGCAACCTCTTTGTCAAGGTGCCCAGGCCTAGCAGCGCCGCCGGCAAGGGCAGCTGGTGGACGCTCAGTCCCGAAGCCCAAGAGGCGTGGAAGACCGGTCGCGTGGCCAACGTGGTGAAGAACAACGCCCACAGCCGCGCCGGCAGCGCCGGCCCGAGCTCCATCCACGGCTCGCCCGTGCGCACCGTCAGCTCCAAGTTTGGCCCGGCCTCGCACGCGGCGAACCCACCTTACCTCATTCAGAACTCGCATACCCATCAGAACCACAGCCAGCGCACCTCGCCGCTTGGCCTCGGCCTCAACCAGACCGCGCAGTACCACTCTCCGCTCGCCAACAACTTTAACTTTGGCGACTCGATGTCCATGATGCCCAACAGCACCTCGCAGCCCAGTGCCCTGCCCAGCAATCTGGCGCTCGGCGGCGGCGCGGACGATGCAAATCTTGGCCTTGGTCAGCCACAGCAGCAGCAGCAGCAGCAGCAG